TTTCTTTTAATAATGTGTACATTGAAGTCGTGAACAAATGGAAATTTTTAATATATTTTCTCTCCAATAATCCCACTAGAGAAAATCGTAAAAAAAATAAAAGCAGATTTCTTAATTCATTTGCTTTAAATTCACCTCTTGAAAAAATTGATCTCGGCGCACGCGAAATTTCTGATACAGGTTTTAAAGTGAGTAAGCGATTACTTAAAATAACTTGGTCCTTTTTCTTAATATAATACGGCTGCTTGTGGTTGCTTGTGTCAAGCCAAAGACTCAGCAGTTTTTTCATGATCCCGAGCTCCGCGCAATGCATATGGTCGATGGAAAATCCATGCACTAAGTTGAATGAATAAGCTGCAATCATACAGGATACGCGCTTGATACCATAAACTGGCCCTGCGTTGAATTTTAATTGGTCGTACGCTTCAATAAAACTTTCATGCGTTCTATTTTCGTATGTTCCTTTTACGTAACGAACATACGGCTTTGAATTTTCATCTCGTTTAATCGATATGCCTGGATGAACACAATATCCACATCCAAAATGACCAGCATATCCGGCAGTTTCCCTCAGGTGTTCGGTCGCAGGTATGTCGCAGCATGCGCCAAGAAGCAGTGGCATGAAACAGTATTTTTGTTTATTGTGCATGATCGTGATGCCTCCGTTGTCAACAATGATACGCATTTCTTTTAACAATGGATAAAAGAAATCAGACATTGAAATCGTTTTCCCAAAGTGGGCGGCGATAATCAAAACATTTTTCATCAAATATCGTTGGCTCGGTTGAATATATCCCTGATAAACTTGTATTAGCCATAGTGACGCTGATGTTGACTTATACGTTTTAACGCCGTCTGTGTTCACAATTAACGGGAGTATCAAATGATTTGGATACATTTTTTGTGCGTTTTTGAATGCTGCACCATTGTGAATGTCTGATATCGTGTTATTTTTGCCAATTGCAGTCGAATAGTATGCCAAAATTGCATCAATGTTATTTCTCAACATATGCTGTATTTGTTGTTTAATGGGTATGTAATGAAAATAATCCGAGTCTTTTGTTTTTATAGTTACTTGGCATAATTCACATTGCGTTTTACTTTCTTGACTTGAAATGTAATTCGAACATTGCTTGCATTTGATATGTATTTGTGATTCGAAAACGGGCTTCATGAATTTATCTATTTTATACTTCGTAGATGGTATTTGAATAGCTGCCTTTGGCGTTCGATTAACCACGTTATTTGCGTTGAAAACAAGACTGTTGTATGATCCACCAAATGTTAAATGATGGGTCATTACGCGATCCATTTGCTCTCTCACCAAATCTATGAAAGGTTAAAAAAATTGTAAGAACAAAAATAATTTTCCACAATTCAAGAATTTAGAATTACCTCTCGATATCGGAGGTGTTTCTTCTGTTGGAAATAACACTTGTGCTGTTGAAATAGGCTCCAAGTCAGTATGATCGAAACTGACGTCAAGGGACACTTTGAATGTTTCATATTCACAACCATTTTCAGTTCGAACATTATATTTTTCAACATCTTTTTTAGCACATTTAATGTACGATTCATGACTCTCACTGTTGTCGACAGGCCTTTTCTCTACGTTTATTGGATATTCAATAACATCATCAAAATCAAAACTAATATTCAAATTACACTTTTTTGGCTCACTATCATTTTTCATAGACACACTCATTTTTTTAAAGAATGTACAAAAATTGTTTGAAATACAAATTGGCTTGAATTTTCGGTTATGTCCGATGGGATGCATTGAGTGCAGTGAATATGCGCGCATAACACTCGCGCAAATTGCCAAGCCAATCGGAAAAAAACGCAGATTTTGCATTTGTATGTATGCGAATAGAAACGACAAGTGAATCGGTTCCTCTCACTCCAACCAGTGTCTGCGTGTAGAAAGAAAGAGAGACTGAAACCATAGGCATATTTGTTCTATTCTTTTTCGATTCGCATATTTAGTGTATAAGCCATGAGTGAAGAGAGCTGTTGTGGAAAAGAGATAAATGATTTGAAAGAGAGAATCCAAAATTTAGTTGTGAAAACGGATAAATTAAAAACTGAGTACAAAAAAATATTAATAGATAATTTGGAAAAAGATTTGAAAATTAGAAATTTAAAAAAAGAACTGAAAGAGAAAAAGTATTGGACTTTCAAAGGAAAGCTATCTGACAATTGCTTGTGTGATATTGAAATTATTGGTAGCACCGTTTCCGAAGACTCTACATTTATTGCTCGCGTTTTAAATGACTTGTATGAACCATCGAAATTGACAAATTTGACGATCAGTGGCCGTACCGACACCATCGGAATATCTGACGAAAATCGTGATATTTTAGAAAATATTTTTTCTCTTCGTTTAACCTATGTTCCTCGTGAAAAGGTCAATGAGTTAAGGCGGGACAATTTAAGTAAATTAATAAGAAACGCTATTGATAGCGCGAAAAGAAAAAAGGCAACCGGCACAAAAGCATAAAATAAGTGACAACAACATATTTCATTTTTCCCCTTTGATATTGTTTTGTTGTTTGCGAGATAAACTTCCGCTACTGAACAAGTAGCCACTTGAATTTCATACACACAAATACACACACAAAACTGTGTCTATACGTGTCAACACTTCCACTGCGCGTGTATTTCCATCATTCTCTCCTTTGTAACGGATCAGCAACGAGTTGTGTTTCTTTTTGTGCGTGATGAATATGGAAAAAGGTTTGTATTTTCAAACAATTTAGTGGCCAGAATTGTGTGTTTGTCAATCAAACGAATCAACAGTTTCCGAATTTTTTTTATTACAGTGCATGAAAAAATGAAGCTTCGAAGTCATTCGGCACGTAGCGTTTTGGATAATTTTCCGATAGTGGTGCTCGACCGTGGATTTGTATCCGAATATTTGCGAAATCAAAACAACGGATCAAATGAAAATGAAAATGCCGTTGTCGTTGCCGGTGCTAGTGCTGATACCGGTGCTAGTGCTGATGCCGGCGCAGACGCCGATGCTGTTGAATCGCCTGATGACGAGAATGACAAATCAGTTGTGTTTGTTAGTGAAGAAAAGCCGCCAGAAATATCGCCAAACACCGAATGTGTAAATTTGCGAAAGGAAAACAAGAATCTAAAAAGTCGCGTACGCAAAATCGAAATACATGTGAATGCCTTGCAAAAACGTCTCCTTAAACAAATCACTGCGCCGATCGACATCGACGAAACAGATGACGATGCGGCATCCATCGAGATTGATGTACCGGCTGAAGGAGAGGCATCGCTCCCGAATGATGGAATGTTGTTGTTGGAAGATGAATGGATCATCACTGAAATGGAGCAAATCCAAAACGACGGAAATTTCACAGCTCTTGCTGGTGAATTTGCTCAATATTTGGAAGACACTGAATAATTCTATTTGAATAAAGAACTTACATTCGTTTAACACGCTATAAGAAAAGAAATCAAAAGTGATCTAAATACAAATAAACAAAAAACCTTTCCGAACATATATTTTGTTAAAACAAATTCAAAGTTTTATTCATTCATTTTATCCGCTAAACGTTGACATGTTTCTTTTTCCAAGTCTTTTGAATCAACCGATTTAGTAATGTTGTGTATTGCGTCTTTAATATATTTATTTAGCTTCTTTTTTCTTGCAACTATTTCAGCACTTTCTGCAGTCGTAGTAAGTATGCGTTCGCTGTATATTCCGTTCAGAATACGATGCTTTTCGGGTGTCACAGCTTCTTTTGTTTGACCAGGTTTGCTTCGACCAGTCACTGATTTATTCTGAAGAACATTCAGTCTGCCATCATACAATGCTTTCACGGCTGTATTAATGAAGTGTGAATCCATTTCCATACGCGGGTCGAGCGAGCGCAAATAGCTCAACTGATTTTTTTTGAAATGGTTTTCATATGAGGTGAACATTTCGTCGACATTTTTCGAGGAATTTTGTGTAGACTTTGACTCGATATTAGTGGCAGGAACCACTTTTCGCTCGCTAACAACAGTCGACTTTTGTGAGGAGTTTGGATCTTCATTTTGATCGGCAGCGACATCAGGCAAAACATTTCCCTTTCGAAAAACTTCAACTTGCTTCATTAAATATTCGATTTTAGTATTTTTTTCAGCCACGATTTCCATGCCGATTTTAACTGCTTCTTCAACGTTTTCACATTTTTGCTCCAAATCCTTCAACTGTGATTCGAGTGTTGCTTTGATGGAAATGCAATCACTTTTATTACACTCAAGAATCAGATTTTCTAAGCAGTCTCCATAAAATTGTGTAGCAGATGATGCCGATTCAGAATTTCCATTAATTTGTTGTTCATTACAATGATTATTTTTTACTGATTTATAGAATTCAGTAATTTTCGACATAATTGCGCAAACATAAAAAGACACACTGGATTTTTGAAGAAATGAAACGAAAAAGGCAAACAATTCGAACCGTATGAATATGAGTGTAAACAGAAGAAATAATATACAGCGTACGTATATTCAATGACGACAAATTCAGTTGGCGATACACATTCAAACCCATACATACGTTTCGAAACTGCTGTTCGCAGCGATAGTGTGTACGTTGAATTCACGTTCGACATCGGCGTGTGAGCCGCTTACTGTGTGTAGCGACACACATACATAAGTTCGGACGCTGTTTTGTCGTTAGTCGACACTCATTTCACGCCAATTTCAAGTCAATGTATGGTGTGTATTATGTGTGTAGCCCATAACGCACGGCGTCGGCTAACACATTCTACGCCGAATCAGTGTGTTAGCAGCGGCGCTATGCGTCATATGTTATACACATGCACACTATACATTAACGCGAAATCGGCGTGGAACGGTGTCGGCTATGCGTCAACGCAACGTAATATCGAACATATATTTTTGGTTGGGAATGTTCTGTTTTATGGTGACTATAAAACAGCAATTCTGCATCAGCGTAATATAATGCCATTCAAATTAGACGACGTTCATTTGCCAGTTAAGCAACCACTACTGCAAACTGCTCTTGTTGAAGTTGTTCGCGACTTTAACCTCAATCGAAATGCAGACAGTGAGCCAGTAGCAATGGATCACGAATCATCATCTGATTCTGCAACGCTATCCCCAAATATAATCGCTGATTCAGAAATGGAGGCTAGTCCAAGCCGTGAAGTAATGCACGAATTTGACCTCAATCGAATTGAAGAGATTGTGCCATTATCAACATCAAAGGAGGAGTATGAACTTTCATCGTTATCTGGAGCATCGTGCTCAAATGAAACCACCGATCCAGAAACAGAAGCATTTGCTATCTCAACAAATGATATTTATTCGTGCGAAGAATCAACTCACACGGAGGCTGAAAAATTAAGGGCCCTACGTACAGAATGGGACATATTTTATCGAGATATGCCTAGACCAGTTGATATCATGTATATAATTTAATGCTCGTTTTAATTCTAAATTATCTTTTCTTTTATTTATGAATTTTTCGTTTTCTCAACAGAAATTTGAAAACTGTGGATCACATCAGCGAAACATTCCCCCAATGTGAACATGCACTATCAGCATTATTTAGCAAATATATGAACATTCCAAATAGACATATCGAGGCACAAATCAAATTCGACTATTTGACGGTTCTTCATGTTCTTGTGACCCCAGATCAACAATGCTCGATGTACAGAAAACTTCGTGAAAAGTTCACGGGAAGCAACGATTCAATCACTTCAAATGTAAGTAAAATCGCCTTCATTGTATGATCTGTGACTTGTGTTTTTTTTTTCAAATCATATCTCTTTTCAGCACGAAGATCTTTTGTGGAAGATGATTATTCCAGAATGGGGTCTAATTATGTTTATGAGAAATTTCAACTTAACGCGTACAGAAGCGTTGGACAGAATCAAACTACAAGATCAAGGGGAGATTTCATCGTTGGACATCAGCATTGACTAATAATTGGTCTATTGAGACTTGAACTCATTAATTAACAACATTTTATTGACTATAATGACAAATTTTGTTCAAATTGAATACATTTCGAATTAATAAATTATTTAACAGACAATTCAACAAGTAAAATGTATTTATTTCGATGAAATCGTCTCAAATGAAAATAGAGGTTAAGTTCAACATTTGTTTGAATATGTTGCATATATCGTATACACGCAGATTTTGCTGGCCACTTGTTGAGCCGATGAATAGAAAATGAAGCGATCAGCTTATTCACCACTAACAGTTTGATCGCAACGTATCAGAAAAATGAAATACCAAACGATTTTTTTGTCTTCGATTCGCTCAAAAGAATAAATATTAATTAGAATGAATTTTTTTTATTGGATATTTATACACCAAAGTCGATTATTTTCCAAACATCTGATTCTTATACATTCACACAACATTTGAGAATTTATTCTAGATAAGGATAAAACAATTTCATAACCAAACGCCTGAATTGATCGAACGGTTTCGACCGAGGTAACAGTGTTTCGGTATTGGTCATTCTGGAGCAAAACGACATCGACTCCTTGCTGAACCATAGCTTTGATCATTTTAACGACACAAAATACAGTACATAAATTCCAGTTGTTTCGTTTCGCATATAATAAAAATACAACAATTTCTCTGTGGAATGTATTGATGTGTGAATAATTCACGATTTAAAAAACCGATCGTCAATCAAACTAAAATCAATATTGATTGAAAATGGACAAATGCAGTGGTATTTCCAAAATTGCTTCTGCGTGGCTAACTGATTTACTATACCCAACAATTTTTTTCTGTAAATTTAATTTAATTAATTCGTGGTTGTTTTGAAATAGGCCGATGCTTTCATAGGGAATGTTTCCGGTTGTATCTTCACCGAAAAACCGCACAGTTACACAAGTTTTTCGAAAAGCTGTAATTACGGCCGGCCAAGCAGCGTAGGTACGCATTTTTGCGAGCACAATTGATCCTTCGGACAGTGCATTTTTCGACGCGACGATCAGTTTTACCTTCGTCATTCCCTTGCGAACAACACATTGGGAATTCAAACGTTTGAGTGGATGACTTCGATGTTGGATTTCTTTTTTTCGTAAATTGTAACTGTTTAACTCGCTCAATTCAACTGCCGCATTCAAAGGATTTGTCTTGGGCTTTGGCTTTTGCAAAACATCTGACCGCGGTAAAGGCAATATCACTGTGCTGTCGTTTTTTTGTTGACTGGTTTTATCGGACTGGTGTTCCCTCGGTAACTTCGACCGTAATTCGGGACCAAATTCTTTCGAAGTACTGTCTTTTTCCAATGAGTGCTGTGAATTCAAAGTACCTTGAACCATCTGAAAAACCAGTTTTGATAGATCAATAAATTTTTTAATTTTACTTTCAAATAGAATTAAATCAATTTGGGCTACCTTAGACAGCCCACTGGTGAAACAAAATTGATCTGATTCAATTGGCACATCGATATGAATTCCATGTTCATCAATTGATGCTAGCAGGATCGAATCACACGATTTCCCATTAAGAAAATTTTCTTTCAGGATAATACTGTTTCCTTTGGCAACTATTTCGAGGTTTATCGTGGGTTTTTTAACCAATGTTCTTTTTTCTGTTTGACTTTTTTTTAATACTTTCATCTTGACTAATGTTAAAACAAATTGAGTACCAAATATATAAATTTCTTCGCATCTGATATTTCTGTGGTTATGTTATGGGAATTTGGTCTGCACTGTGACAAGCCGATGAAGTGCAAGTTGAATTTCACCTCGAGGTGAATTCACTTTGCTAGTTTGAACGATTTGATTACATCAATGAATATATTTCAAACATTCATTTTTTTCATGAAAATAAATAAAATAAAGCATATTTAAATATATGCTCGTTTCTTTGGTATAAAATCGAGCGAGAAATGAAAAACCCTAAACGTAAAAGAATTCGGAACGTAAGTACCACATCCAAGTACAACGAAACTACTCTACACAAGACTCTACACATTTTTGTTTGCATTTTGGTTGCATCCATACGGAATACGTAAAACCGCTTAAATTGAATATGAATCATCTATTTTTCATCATTTTTATTGGTTTTGAGCATTTTTATCGTTTCATTTTTTCTGATTTTTTTAAATACAATATAGAACTTGTCTTTTTTTCCAAAATATTGTTCAAACTATTATACAAAAAAAAAATGAATTTGTCTCTGTATTTTATTTCAACAACAACAATTCTTTTGGTGTATTTTTTTCGATTATCATATTTATATTTACATTGAGTTCAAAAATTATTTCTAAAGTTTGTACATGATCTGATATATATTATACTATAGTCAACAATTCATGGTGGAATGAAAGTAACGAATTCAGTCTGTTGTTTGCATGTTTTCCATAAGTGTGTCCAAGAAATCTTTGTGGTCGCTTGCTGTGTACAAGGCATGTTTCTTCATGGGCCGATGTTTTCCCGAAGCGTAATGGTTCAAGTGGTGTCGTAGACGGAGATATGTGAATGGTTTCTCGCATATTGGACATATTAAATCTCTGTTTGGCACATTTACACAAAATTCTGCTGTGTGGCAATCATAGCTACTTTTTTTCTTGGTCAAGAAATCGCAATTGGCACATTGATAAAATGCTGTCCGATGATCCATTGTGTCAGTGAGTGCATATGAATGTTCTCTCATAATGCATTGGCTCGTGTCATTTGTTGGCTCGTTTGGTTCTTCAGTATCACTCATTTCAACAATCATCTGTGATGGTGATGTAATTTCGCATTTTTGGTTCGTGTCATTTGGCTCGTTTTCAGACATTCGGCTTGTCAATGTTGCGCATCTCTCTGTTAGTTGTTCAACTTTACGATCTCGCTCGGCTAATTTTGTCTTCAGCTTGTGGTATCTTTCTGCCGTATGATTTTTGTACGCATTGAATTTCTCCTTGATCTTTTGATTGTGAACCTTGAACTTCTCTCTGAAGAGTGTTGACTTCGTTTTTTCGTCGGTGAGCTCATTCTGTAATTGATTGATTCGCAGTTGTTTTTGGCTGTTCACAAATTGTTCTTCTCCGATTTTGTAATTTAGTTCTTGGCGGCTCTCGGCAAAGTTATTCATCCACTCAATTTGCCAGCCGGTAATATTCCGGTACTGTGTTGCTCTTCCCTTCGGCATTTTTCTTGCGTTTGCTTCTGCTCACAAAACATAAATGACGTCTAATTGGAACACCGTTTTCAAATGAATGGTTTCGTCGCTAAAGCATACCATGGCAAACATTACAATGTTTGAAAGAGTAAGAAGTAAGGAGAGTGACTCTTCTCTGTCATTCGATGTCAATCACGGCATAGAGCGAACGAAACTGTTCGATGAACAATAGTCCCGATACACACACAGACAGCAATCAAAAAGAACATTCAAACGGACTCTGCTAAATTGTATGTTGTCGAACTCTCTCACACTAACTGGCAAACTGACTTGGTCGTGTGCAAACAGCTGTTGAAGTGAAAAAGATGTTGTTTGCGGTAGACTCAGTTTAGATGTTTTTTGTTTACGTTGCAAATTTTATGTCCATGTGATAACGTCATTTTGACGCATTTAGCTATGGTTTTTTTAAAATTGTGAATTTTTCTAATACTACTTGAGATAATCGCCCAATCCTATTTCCCTAGGACAACGATTTCACGAACGATCATCGACGATTCTATATTCTATTTTCTTAGAAGGACGATTGGATGATCAATCGTCGACGATTACAATCGCCTTCCTAGGAAAACAAACCTTTATGAAAGTTGTACCGGGTCCTATTCAAATTCCATCTGTGGCATATGATGTGATGAAAATTCAAACCGATGCTAAAGCCAGAAGTGATTATTCAAAACTGA